TTAACTCTTCCTCCGCGCTCAAATAAATTAAACGAGTCATCGCGCGCGACAAGTAGGCTCGGTGTTACTTACATAGGTACGCGCTGCCTTACGTCACTCTCGCGCGTGGCCGAAGGGGGCTACAACTTGTCTCTCTATCCTTGAATCTTGCTCGAAATTGGCCGCAATCAAAGTGCCACGTCAACATCCCTCCTCCGCCGCACACACCGCGTCGGCGTTGACGTCAAAGTCGGCGACGACGGCGCTTCTTCGCTCATTGTCTCCTCGTTCGCGCTCGAGGAAATCGGCGAGACTTCCGCCGCGAATCATCAGCCCGATGACGATGTTGCGAGATGGCGCGATGAGTCAGCGATGGTGCGTGTCGCGCGCTCTCGAGAAAAATTCGCGAGCGATCGCTTGCGACGGTAAATGACGAGATGAACGGAGAACGCCGGTGTAATTTATTTAACCGCGAGAAAACCCGACGTCCCTCCCTTCTCCTTCGGTGTCGCTAATCGTGCTTGTGTAGACACTGTCATGCGAAACCACGGATAAAGATCATCGCGGGGACGCGTGAGAGCGTCCGTCCCATCGAAGTTTCACGCGTTCCGCTGGTTATTCCGTGTGGTTCCGATTAGAAAAATTCCCAAGTCGATAGATACATCCTAATTAAAATCTACTAAACACAGGAGAGTCTCGAGGGAAGAGCTCGCGCGTCGGGAAATCGATCGTGTCAGTTCCAGCGCGTTGATATCAGCGACGCGATTGCGATATCGGCGTCGGTAGGTTAATTCAGAGAGATGCGCGATAGCATCGACGGTAATAGTCATTAATTAACGCGCGAATGGCCGGGAATGTAAAGAGGATGCGAAGAAAACCGCTGATACGGCCGGGACTGGAGTCGGCCGCGCGCGATCTTCCACCTCGTCCCGTAATCGCTCGAGCGGATCTTCGCGATGTAACTGGCGTGCAACGACCGCGAGACTGAGATCGGAGCGCGGAGACCGCAGATCGACCACCATTACACCCGGGACGCATCCCCATAGGCTGCGAGAGAAGCCGCCTAGCCCCCGGAGCTCGACCCCGTACGAGGGTGAGACTCGTGTATACCGAAAACCAGTCCTTCCCTCTCCTTCGACATCAGCACGTCGATGCGTGAGTGCGTGCGTGCGTGCGTCTGCAGGACCCACGAAGTACATATCTACCCCCCTCGGTATAAAGCGATGAAAATAATGTAACGCACCGCCGCCGAAATCTATTGACACGCCACCCCACGTGCACGCACACGCACGCACACACGCAAGCCGTGAATGAATGAACGAGAGAAGCGAGAGAGAGAGAGAGAGAGTCGCGACTGGCTGGGCCGCGAATCGAGATGTTAGAGAACCCCTCTGTAAATAGGCAAGATGGCGATGTCAAAATAACCGTAGGTAGGCCGTGAGGTGGTCCAGATTTCCGTTCGGCGAGTGATGAATTTTCGCAGCCCCGGGAGAGATGTTTCTTTCGGTCGCGGACCGCCACGTTCGCCCGTTCCGATTAGAATGACGGATTATTTCATTCCGTGCGTGGGATCCCACCAAGGTGAACTTCGACGTCTCGGAAGCGCGGTGTTTTTATACAAGATATTTTTATCAACCCGAGACGATACTATTTGCACGTGTCTCCGAGAAAGAATTTTCATCCCGAAGCTGTTTCAGCGCTTTATGCGACGATGTGGAAATTTCCAAGTGTCCTGGTTCGCCATTATTAAATTATCATCGATACGACGTTAAAGTGTGCTCGAATTATATATAATTGTAATTACTTTTCATTACCTTTCACGTTTATTTTATTATATGTAACAATATTTTTATCATGTACGTGCAAACGTAAAGGCGCGGGCGATAAAACGCGGGATAGCAACGTACGAGCGAAGCCAACATTGTAGAGCATCATGGTAATATCGTAACGATATACGCATCGAGGATTAAACAGTTCGCAGGATTCAAATAGTGCCACGAGGGCTCTGAAAGACCTCACGTCGACTGCTGCGGTCGACGTTTGCGAATAACGCTGACGACATCGACAATAATGTAATAGCGCAAAGTAATTCAGCGAGTTACCGACTACTTACTAAAACGCCAGGAACACTTAGGAACTTTACGCGCTTTGCACGTGTAATTCCGTCTCGCCGAGCGATATCTCGCATAAAAGCCTGCCCACCAAGGCAAGGTCTCGAAACAGATGCTGATTTCATCCGTGATTTGAGAAACGGATAAACGTCCATTTTTCTAGACGACTCCGGCGTACAAGTTAACCCTTTATTCCGGCAAGTTCCCGCGATGGAAGTAATTTTCACCATTCCTCCGAGATATTCGATAAACTCCTGAAAATTCACCGACGTTTGATTTTCAGAAAGCGATATATCCCCTGTGCAGAGCTGCCCTTACGGAGAAGAAAGAATAAAAGAAAAAGATATTAAAAGATAAAAGTTTTCAATTATGGAGAGTCTTATTATTTCAGAACCAACGAAAATGGAAAGGAAGCCTCTCTGATTTATGAATACTCTCCCCGGCGATCGAATGAAATTTTTATTCCACAGCTGGAATCTTGTTTTGGCGTTGGCAAATGCCGAGGAGCTTCAATATTCTATGACAAATTGAACATGCAAGTTTACGTGTTGTGCGCGACGCGCATCGATAAGTCGGTCTCGACCGAAATGTACGGTGTAAGCGTCCGTGAAAGCACGTCGTCCGACGCCGTCACGAGTTGGCTTAAGCGCGTATCGTGCAAAGAAACCAACACCTATGCCGACGCTGACCAACACCTATGCGACCTATGCGTAGAGGAGCAACAACATGCGTGCCGTAGACAACTCGCCACTTGTAGCAATTGACCGCGCAAGTGTTTACCGCGTCCCCTTCGGGCTACGTGACACTATGCAACGCGGTTTCGCCTTGCTTCGGATACGTCGTCCGTCTTTATCGGTTCTAATTACGACCTGTATTTCTAACTTAATTCGCCGCCCCACCGTTTTCGCGCGCTTCCGATAAAGGTCGAGGCTCTCAAGCGGTCGCATCGGCGATCGCGAGATAATCATTTCCGATCGCCCACAATTCAGACTTCCATCGATGACTTTCCGAGAGCCGCCCACACACAGACGACGGCGAGAGATAATTTATTAAAATATGTTTCCTTAAAATACGAGTCGCAAACAAACGATATTCAAGAATATATTTAGAAATACATACGTACACGTGTAAATAAATATCGTGGCGACCGATGAGCGAAGTTAACGCCATTCGAGATATTCATTGGCTCGTAACGATGCGCGGATCCGCCAATTTGTCCGTACGGCGAATGAAGATTTCAAGTTCGACGAAAGTACCGTTCTCCGCACGCCGGAGACGACAGCCTCGCTTCGTCGGAAAAATACAGGGTTGGGAGGGTTAACGAGATTCGCGTACCCGGCGGACTAAACCGCCGTGTTGGGTACTTGAAGGTATAAGGATGCCGAGCACGTCTGGCGGTGGGCAGGCCGCGCGGGTCACAATCCCATCTGCCGATCCTAACCGGTCGGCACTCCCTCTCTCTCTCTCTCGCTCTCTTTCCCTCCCTCTCGTTCTTCTCGGCCCTTCGGACGTTTAAACTCCCGTTGGACGTACGCGAGCGCGCGCCATTATCTTATTTACGCCTCATTGTCTCAATGTATCATACCAATATCGCGCCTGCCCGTACCGACCGGCAACACGCTCCTGGATCGTGTGCACGTGAACGCGCCGCGTTTGCGAGGAATCTTCACAATCCTCCCCGCTCCCCTCGATTTTAATCAAAACTCGTATTCTCGTGAGGCGAGTTTTTGGATCATCTCGACGTGTTCTATCGGTTCTCTCGCCGATATTCAAAGCCACGAGGAATTGCCCGAAGTTGCGCTTCGCTTCGGTGTTGTGTAATTGCGAAGTTGGTCTTTGAAATTCGAAAGCATTTTCACCGAGCAGGGCGGTTAAGCATTCGGATCTGAGAAAAATCTATCCGCGTTTCCTGGAAATCCTACAATTACATTCGGGAAAAGATTTTGCTGAAAGGTATTATTCCTCGCTCGATGCCGCTTCCGCGTTCGGTGCCGCCTTCTCCGTGGATTTGTTTTCGACGTGTCGTGAGAACGTTTCGATTCGTTTCTTCGAGGATAGGAATCGAAAACTGTGATATATCTCGATCTTTTCTATGTTTAAATGGTGATGCGAAATAATAGAAAACTTGTCTTGCCGTTGTGACGATTCCAAATACTCGTGGAAGCTGGGAAGGTATCACGAAATATATTGCAGCATTAAGAGTATTTTATTAACATAGTTCGTCGTAACTATGTTGTTTATTGTTAGACATTAGGAGAGTCTTCAGTGTTTGAGCAATAGACAGATTCATTTCACAGCTGGTATTTTATGGCACGCGCCGAAAATTGTCGTTTCGTTTCGATTTGGTAGGTAATTTGCTTCAAGAAATGTGGCTCTGTATTTACAAAATACCTCATATCCCGTATTAAAGTAAATTTAAATAAACATACGTTTCAGTACGCGACAGAAAGAACTCACATATAGTGTACAATTGATTAATAATAATATTTGCTAGATTTACAATCTATATTGGCGAAGGGATAGAAATTTAGGGGAAGGGGGAGGGCAGCAGGTAAAAACCCTATCCAAACAGATTCTATTTTATAAAGCGTGCGCATAGAGATGAATCAATTGATCGCGTGTCCAATATAAAGATTATTACATTGATTATCATATTGTGATTTTTCCGTGCACACGCTTTTTACGACCGTCCAGATCCGTTTGGATAACTTTCAATAATTATGACGTGGAATTGTTAAAAAAAAAATGGTACATTTATTTCAATTTCGTTACTATACACATGTCTTTCGCGAGCACTTATTTCGACTTCGTTCGATGCGCGTAGTATGTATGTATATATATATGTGTGTGTATGTGTATATATATATATATATATATATATATATATATAGAGAGAGAGAGAGAGAGAGAGAGAGAGAGATAGAGGTGTGTGTGTGTGTGTGTTTATATAGATATATAATACAATATTCATCATATCTTTATCGTCATTAACAATAATCCGCCATGATTTTGTCATAAATCCAACTATAGCTGATAAACATTCAACCGATACTGTACATACTACTACACTCATCAATACGAGATCAGGAATTAAAATTTTACCTAACTACCTATTTACACACTACTGTGCTTCGAAGGAAACAACTACACATCACAAAGGATCACAATCTCAAGGCTCACTCGAAGAGCTAAATCGTTAAGCGTTTAGCGGTCGCGGGCTGTAGATGTATTACGTATTATCAAGATTATAATATAATACATATTGAATTGATTATAATAATATAATTATTATTAACGTATGATGTAATGTCCAACGTTTTACAAATAAAGACACACGAATCACGTATCTCTTTTCAATTTTACCTGAATAAATAATTTCAGAATGGAGTAAATATACGGTGATACCTTTCATAGTATTAACCTGTTTGCAATGTGAAGATTAAATTATTAAAGTTGCTAACATTATTAATGACCGGAAATTGATTTAACCGTTTCTAGAATAATAAATTCGGCGGTGATCATCAGCACGTAAGAATATCGGCTCGTATCTATTTACAACGCCGAACGTTATAATCTTACTGCTATTATCTCTCCTATTTATTATCATGTATTATTATCCTTATATTATCATAGATAATAAATATAAGACTCCATCACCAGTCCGCATTCGCTACAATCTTCAACGTATACATACTTTCTTGTGCGACCGAATCACAATCACTTTGCTTGTTTCGTATATTCCTTCAAACTTTCATATTTACAAATTATACACCTTATTGTGAAATTTTAGATGATATTTCAGCTTAATATTATATTTACATAAAGATTAACATTAAAAACAATGCGCGATGAGTAAATATAGGATACTCGACGATTAATGACACGAAGTTCGTGATGCGGGTGGAGTGTATCAAACTGAACGGAAAAATTTTCTACTTGCATATTTTAAATAATATTATTAAAGAATATGAAATAATATCAGCTTTACTAGCTCAGCTAGCTTTATTCGCTTCTTAATCGTTATTAATTCCTTTATTCTTTAATCTTTAATTAATTTCTTAATATCCGTTACGATATTTACAAAATGGTAGAAGACTTTCCCGTTCAGTTTGATGCGCTTTACCTGCACACGAGCGTAGTGTCAATAATTGTCAGACACTCTGTACACACCGGAACGAATCGATACAAGGAACGAACGCAATTACTAATATTATATGATATAATATCGATATCGGGGCAATCTTTTTCGGCGAGCGCAACAATATTATGTCGTAGCATCACACGCCAAATATAGTCGCTGCCATAATTGTGCTGTGAATCTTAGATCCATGCGATATATTACAGCAGAATTTACATACGCTTCTTTGGTACCCCCATCTTCGGAAAAAGCCTTACTTGAAAAAATACATTACTTCCAAGAAAAGTCTTTTTCCCTTCTTCTTGCAATTACATCATCGTCCTCACGAAGGGATGTATATCCTACACGAAGAAAATTATTATTTTTTTGAATTCAATGGATTTTTTCCGCCGGGTTCTTTTCCCCGATATATAAATTAAATATACTATATTTATATTTAGTACATTTTTTTTATTGAATCCAAAGAAAGGTGGCAGAAAGTAGCGTGTACTGATGACAGATACTTCGATTGAACGTTTACTATTTAACATTTACGTTACGCGAATTTTCAAGCGCGATTAGTCGTTTGTGAAAATAATTGTACAAGCTCGTGGCCCTGGTATTTGCCAAGTGATTCGTGACCAAATTCTTATGTAGTTTACAGTTCATACTTACAATGTACCCTTACAGCGTTTAAAAACATTACTTACTGGAAAAGTGAAATGGAAACTTGCGAGCAATCGATACGCGATGAATATCAACATGATGTACACCGAACGAACCAATTATACAGTGACTCGAACTTGGAAAAACCTGATTACAAATCCAATTCTTTGCTTATAGTTGAAGTAATATTCCATATTATTCACATATAAGGGTACAAAGAAGAGGGGACACAAAGGCGGAACCGAGGAAAGAACACGAGAGAGAAAACGGTCCTGCCGGAGCAGAGACAATAAATTAACGAAAACGTTCTTTCGGAACATGGAAGTGTCCTTCGATGAGCTTTGGGCACGACGTGGAGCAGCGAAAAAGATAAGAAACATCTGCCTCCTGTGTGTTTCCTCACGCCGCTAGGGAGAATACCGGTGAAAGTGCTGGTACTCGATCAGAAAGCACCGATCGGCGCACTTTCCAGTGCCCGGTTACGTCTGCAGAACCCGCGCGCGGCTTCTCAGATACAGTTTCTAGGGCTCAACCTGGTCGTTTCAACCCGGCCGACCGGTGAGAACGGTGATAGGCTTTAAGAGTACTTGCGCCGTGCTGTGTGGCAGCGGCCTCGTCGGCTGGACGGAATTGCAGACAGTGACCGGCGGCGAATGCGTCGGCATCGGCTCCGGACTGCTGCCGGGCGAGGCGGTGGTCGAGGCGGACTGAGTCAGCAACGGCGCTTGGCCGAGGTACCTGTGCTGGAGGCCGAACGCCGGGTGCAGCTGCGAGAGGTTCCTCAGGGTGGCGTAGAAGTCGTAAGCGGGCTGTATCCCGTGTCCGGGGAAATTCGGGCTGTAGCCCGACGGCGTGCCCTGCAGCAGTCTGTCGACGGTGAAGGTCCCGTGAGCCGGCGGTGCCGCCGTCGCCGGGAGAGGTTGCGGCCTGCAAGGCAGACCGGTGGTCGACGTGGTGGCCGCGCCGGGCAATAAACTAGCGGGATAGCCGGTCGGGGTGGCGTAGGCGGCGGTGCCCGGTGGATACGGCGGCCGATGTATGTACGGCATGGCGTATATCGTGGAGGACCATACCGGCGAGGCGTATGCCGCCGGATAAAGTCCGGGGAACGCGGCGCACCGTTTCGCGGCCAGACGAGACCTCGAGGCCGCCGTCGTCCTGCGCCGGAGCTTACCGGTCGTGCCGCCGATGAACACGTCCTCCGAGCTGGGGTCGAGCATCCAGTAGTTGCCTTTGCCCGGGTCGTCGTAGTGGCGGGGCACTTTGATGAAACACTTGTTTAACGAGAGATTGTGCCGTATGGAGTTCTGCCAGCCTTGCTTGTTATTCTCGTAATAGGGAAAGTGGCGCATTATGTACTCGTAAATACCGTTCAGGGTGAGCCGTTTCTCCGGGCTCTGCTGGATCGCCATCATGATCAGCGCGTTGTAGCTGTACCGGGGTTTCTCCGACTTCTTCTTGTCCTCGCTCTGCTCCTTCGGGTCCTTCTGACTCGACGGGCTGACCGAAGTGGCGTTCCTCGAGCAATCCAACGGCGGGGTCTCGGTGCCGCCGACTCCGATCACGTCCAGGTCGCTGCAGTCGTCGCTGTCGTCGGCTCGGTCGTCCGCCTGGCTCACCTCAGGGGAGGCCGAGTCGCTGGCCGACGGCAACGGTGCGCAGGCCTCGGGCAAGATACTGCGGATACTGAAGTTGCTCTTCAGGGCAGCTCGCGGAGGCGGCGGTGAGGCTGTTACCGTGTGTTGTTCGCTTGAAGCTTCCATATTCACCATACTTCGATGATGTCTCGTCGCACCGTGATTCCACCGGCACCTCCAGCTTCCTCGCTCACGTCGAATCAATGTCTCAGTTAGTTCCTAACACAGCGGCCTCCGGTTATAGTCTTGAGGTAGATAGGGGAGAGGCATCTCTCGCAGAGATTCACCCCCGGGCTCCCTTTGCGTTTTACAATCCCGATTACACGACGTCTTCCAAGACGAACCAATCACAACAACAACACAACCTACGGCCGTTCCTGCTTCGCTGTTCACGCTCTCAGCTCCGCGATATCATCGCTCCAGCCTGCACCACAGCAACAAGCGAACTGACGCGCACAGCGACGGGACACAGCACCGATCTGTCGGCATCCCCGCCACGGTTATACTTATACCACGCGTTTGAACACGCCCACTAGCGACAACCTGACGTACCCTGCAGGGCGAGCCGACCAATCGACGCGGCCCGTACCAAGCCGCGCCAGCATCGTTGCTGGACCCCACCACGGCATTTTGCGCCCAATGTTTGACAGCAAACAATGCAAGTGACGCGCGGGGCCACGCGGAGGCAGGGATTTCGAAGGTGGCAGCCAGGCGCGCAGGCAACATCGACCTGCCGGCCGCGCTCCCGCGGTGGTGGGGAGCGCAGCCGCAACTAAACGTGCATCTCCACGTGTGCAAACAAATCCAACGCCGCTGTGCCCGCGCTATACGCCCTCCCTACAGGATTGGCACGTTCTTGGATGCCGCGAGCGTCGCGGCGCAGGATCAGCGCGAGAAGAGAGAGATGCGCGTCTGTGTGTGCGTGCGTGTCTGTCTTTCACGGCAGACGAAAACGTTCAACTCCGGATTCATAGCGCGGCTGAATATGGAGATGACGGGGACGCTTGTTGCGGGACGTTGCTCGCGCACCTGGTGCATCGACTTCATAGTCGTCGTTTGTTGAATCGAGACGCGGTGACAAAGCTGCTATAGAGCTTGCGAGCGAGATAAATGTCGTCCCCGCGGCGGAGCCTCCTCGCGAGACGCGGCCGGCCGCATTGTTATCGCGTATATTTTGCACTTGGCATTGTCGGGGCGCGCTTGTGCGACGCTCAAAACATGTTTACTGAGAGTTAGCGTAAATGTGTCGGACGTTGATCGTACACACACACACACACACACACACACACGGTAATGTCGGATAATCTATTCATTGGTATTCCGTTGTGGCGTATTACGATCGAAGAATTTCCCCGACTTCCAGAATTGGTGCGGAACGGAAATCCCGTCGAGTTGAATGTTTAATCACTCGTTGGCGTTGGAACAGCTTTCGCTGCTATATTAATAAATAGACGTGAGTCGAAACATTCGGACGTTCCAATGTCTGAATGATTAAATATTTCACGAGTATATATTAATTTGACAATTGGATCCTTTAACTCGGTCAGTCGATTTTGTGTCCAAAAGCTCTGGCGCTGTGCTTATAATAGCTGTTTTCACTCGACGTAAGCTCAGCGGCTTACTCATTTCTTTCATGTAAGAGTGGATTTGGATGATTCGAAGAAGGCAGCTTACGATAGTCAAGATAAGTTATACAAACTTTGCCCAGAGGTATTATTTTCAGCTTATTACGATGTCCCAACAGGATTATCTCAAAAATAAGAAAGGAAAATATGTGTATGTGTGTTTTTGTTAACCAAGCACCAATAAATACCAATATCGAACTTGAATCCATGTATACCGTTGTTAAAATATTTTTTTCTAACGATAACTGTACTGTTTTGTCGGAGTTTTTATATTTTCTTTTAAATACAGTCAGCTTGAACCTGTTGAAATTATACTTGTCGTGTTTAAAAGGCTTTCTTAAATACAGTGGTTATATATATACACAGAGAAAAAGATCTTTTTGGATTTGATAAGATTTCTTTAATTGAAACAAATTTGTACTTTGGAGTGGAGCAAACAAACAGGATTGTTTGACTTTTTAAATAACAACAATAAATTATTTGAAAGAAATAAAACCACTTTAGAAAAATATTAAGAAACTTCTTTGTTTCAGTGAAACAATATTCAACATATAATGAAATAAGTTTTTTTTTTTATTGAAAACTAAATATATTATTTCCTCAAAATAATATCGTTTTTCAATCAAATAACATATTTTACTCTAGTAAAACAACATTTTCATATAAACAAAATGATATTTGAGATTAAATTATGTTATTTATATTAAACAAGCTCAAGTCAAAAAAGCGCGTATATTAAAACTAAAGAAATCTTTTTCTCTATGTATGTACGTTTTCTAATGTGTGTTATAATAATTCTGATAACCATATTTGTCCTATAGACTCTTCAAGTTAAAGTTTTATGTCGAAATTGCCTATTTGTGAACTTAATTACTATCCGATGTATTTAAAAATGTGCATGAGTTTGGGCTTTTGGGTTGTTCATATATCTTGAAGAGAATTTTAGTGTATCCGCTGATTATCCTCAACTGTGATGGTCAGTAAGATGGAATTTGAATTACACAATGGGTTTTTCCGAAACAGCATATAAGCGATTTCATTGACGATTTGTCATAGATACTTTAGTATCTTGTCGTAGATACTATTTGTCATAGATAAGAAATAGATATTGCTTTTTCAAGCATTGTCCGTTCTTCCCCAAATGGTATTTCGCAAGACATTTGTTCGTTGAAATATTAAATTGTTTGGTTTTATTAGAAACATAAAATAAATAAGAGAAAATGCGTCTGTGTGCAAATTGTTGCCAAAATACCGTGAGAAAAAAAATATACAACTAGTGATGGGACCGACTCAGTGACCGTACTCATTAATGTGTATCAATGTGTATCAAACATCATATTATATTATCAAATAGGTATCAAAATAAGTTGTCGTTCGTATCAATAAGATAAATTTGTTGACATTTCATGTTAGTCGAATTGACTCAATACAATTATCACAGAACTATCAACAAGACGAGCAGTTTACTGTTATACGCTTTGCAATACGGTCTCGATGTCAATCAATAATAAAAAGAAAGGAAGAACTTAAAAGATTTTGTAGAATTTGATAAAAATATAGGACTAACAATTTCCTCTATTTCATATGCAATATCTTTATGCACGACATCTTTATATCACTCGGCGCCCATTGTGAGAACACCGTCACTTCATAATGAACTATAGATATAACTGCATTCTTTCGTCTTTCTTAGTGCCTTCTACGAGCTAAAGGGACTATGAAAACTTTCGAGTTTACTTTGTGTTAATAGTTCAGGTCATACAAATGATACTGTATGGCTCAGCTGCCTTTAGTTTTACAGTCAAATTTGTCTCCCAGAGATTTAGAGCGACATGTATTTGATAGTTACAATAGTTACATAATGATAACGCGTGCTACCTTTTTTCGCATGTAAAACGAAAAAGAAGCGATCATGCTTCTCAACATTCAGACGGTTAAACCGCCATTAGAAACGATCTGCTCAACGATCTTTTAAAAAAACCGTTCGCAAATCTCATCGCTCACCTTTAAAGCGTGTCGACGAGGCCATCGAAGCGGTGACAATTCGGACGGTTAGGACGAGTCGAATGGAATTCTAGGTCGCATATTATATCATCATTGCGAAAGCACGCAACATTCGACACACTTCCGTGGAGGCTTTGGAAAATTTCTGGTTTCGACAACTACCAGATTATCATTCTTCGGCTCCCATGGGAAATCGTCTTACCAGCAACTGATTGGTGGACCACAGCCTACCTATTATTCCGTTTCCCCGCCATCACGGAAAATTGCAAAAACGGCCTTCAGGTATCAGCAATAGACCAACAAACAAGTCTATTTGTTTAATAATCGTTGACGTCACAGTACACATCATGTTCGACATTTCCCGCGCAGCGACTCTGCGGATGCATCGATGATTTTGTGCAGACAAGAGAGAGAGAGAGAGAGAGAGAGAGAGAGAGAGATGAAGTGAAAGGGGTCACCACTGCGAATCGTTAGCTACTCTATATGGCCACTATATAGCTCTTCCGGAGAATCAATAAGAAGGAGCTGAAAGATGAGAAATAGATATCATATCGAGATCGACCCTTTCCTTTGGATTAACGTTACACGTATTCGTTACGTCGCATAATATTATGTTAACTTCTTGAATGCTGTGGACACTTAATATCCTACAAATGCTATTGGCTTGGACTACGGATGCATATATGCGTCTGACAAATTTCATTGGCCTATACTCTCGAGCGACAGTTATCAACTGTTGCGATAGGCACTTATTTTTGTTTTTCTTACATGTTTTTCTTACATGATAAATAACATTTCCCTTATCTTGGTTAGTTAAATTAAAGGTCATCTCGCAATGGTTTATTTGAAATATTGTAGTATAATTAAAAGAAAAAGAAAGAATGAAATATCCCGTCGAAATTTTTTTCTTAAGTGCACGAAACAACAAAGTTTTCTCAATTTTACTACGCGTTTCTCGATAACTCACAAACATATATCTCACTCTCTCTCTCTCTCTCTTTCTCTCGATTCAGTGAAATATCGAATTCTCAACCCTTCCGCACCTTTTTTCCGCATCACCGGAGACGCCTATTCTCCGAGATTCAGATCAACCGACTAATCTCTCGCGGTCCAACCGTGGAACCGCCGATGGTAGTGATCTCCACGACGATCGCGTTAAACTCCCGACGAGAAGAAAGCGAGAGAGACAGGGGACAGGGGAAGTTTCCCCCCTGTCGACGAGAAAGTCAAGACGGCTCAAAACGAGCCGTCCGTCCGTCCGTCCAACGACGTTCCAAGGACCTTCGGGATTGCGCGGGATTGCACCCCCCTAATGCGATTTACCGAACTTAAAAAGTTAAGCGGCACCGATATGTTAATCCGCGTGGCCGGAGACTTTGATTCTTTTCGAGAATATAAGACGTGGGTGCGTGTGCACACGCATGAAACGAATCCAATTGCCTGTTCTACGGATCTATAAATTATTCAGCATTACTGTCTCATCTCATAATCTTTATTTTTATTGTAATTATGCTCGAAATGTTATATGTCAATGTTATAACATTATACATATGCATACATATCTTTATTAACTCTTTGTACTTTTTTTGGCAAAGGCCGAACTGTATATGAAATTTAGTATAAAGATGGCAGTACAGACTGGAATTAAGTCCGCGTAGAGTTCACTACTCCGTCCGCAATTTATATAAATTTCATCTTCTAAAAAATTACAGTATATATATATGCCATATTTATAGCAACTAAGTATATATATAATACCTGACGTACATTACAATAATGATATTTTTAGAAAATTATAACATTATAATAAATTAAACAAAAACATTACA